GCCAGCGGCCCCACGGACTTCGTGCGCTCCTTCCTGCTCAAGGACATGCTCTGCCTGGCTGGCCTCTCCTGGGAGCTCATCCCGCCGCGCTCCATCGAGAAGTGCTGGCTGCTGGGGGTGGGCGCTGCCCTTTGCCGCAGCGTGGCGAGGAAGAGGCGCCACAGCACAGCGACGAAGGCACCGGCGACAGTAGGGTCTTCAGTGACCTTACGCACCTGGCCGCGCTGGCCTACAAGCGCTTGGCCCCGCAGGAGGTGTCCGCCTGGCTGCACTTGGACGACGCGGCACCAGGCGACGAGGAGGACGCCGAGGACGAAGGCAGCTTCAGGGTTGAGGAGGAAGATGAGGAGGAGGAGGTGGCAGCCACAGTGGCAGGTGTTGGGGACAGGGAACAGGGCGATCCCTTGCTGCCCACAGCCAAGGAAGCCATCCAGGGGCTGGAGACGGCACTGCGCTGGCTGGAGAGTCAGGACCCCCGGCAAGTGGGGCCGCTGAAGCTGGTGCAGCTCCGCTCACTTATCAGCATGGCCCAGCAGCTGCATCACGGCGCCGGGACCCCTTCCTAGCATCCACCACACACTTGGGCAGGTGGGGGACATGGCTCTGAACCCCTCCACGGTGCTGGAAACATCCTGGCTCTCCTGCAGGAGCAGCAGCTGAGGTGCCAGCTCCTGTCACCCTTCTGTCTGGGCTCCCATGGCTCCCTTATGCCAAAGGGAGTGAAAATTGAGGGCTAAACGGGCAGGTTGCGCCTTACCCTCCGCGTGTTGTGTATTCGGGGGCTGTTGCTCATCCGAAGGGTGTTTCAGAGGTGCTATTTTGTAATCCTGGGAAACAAAGCACTGGGGTGGGGCGGCCGCCATCCTTCGCAGTGCCTCATTGCACCATCCTGGCCCTGCTGCAGGGGACAGGGGGAAGAGACCTGCTCCACATCCCTAAGTAATTCCCCACCCGTGACAACCACAGAGACAAGGACTCCATGCCCACAGTGACATGTTGAACAGGGATCTTCATCCAAACATCTCTGCAAAGCCAAAGGGTCTGGTAGGAGGACGCTGAAGGAGCCTCCGGGATTCAGAGGCTGAAGTTGGCTCCCGTCTTGAGTGGGAGGGGAGCAGGAAGGGCTCCTGGTCTCAACTTGAAGCATTGGAGGCATCAAATGGGCATTAATAGCTCCTCTCTTGGCCAGTTCGGGAGAATTTTAAGTCTTTGGACACATTATTTGAAGGGGAAGCGGGGAAACAAGTCAGCCATGCTGGAGCACATCAGCAGGTGGGTGGCTGGTTTTAGCCTCTTGGGTCTTTGCCTTGCGCCTGCGGAGTTTATGGAGATTAAATGGATTTTTATGCCTGCTGTAGGGGTTGTCTTTTGTGAGCAGTCATCTCAAGGCCACCTTGATATGGAGCTCGGTGCAGCCGTGGCCTCTCTGGGCAACATGGCCACGGGCCCTCTTTTCACCTCCGTTTGGGGAAATATATTAAAAAAGCATCCCTTAAAAGTGGCATTTTGCTTTATTAGCAGCAGCTCGTGAATGAGACTTCCAAGGAATTTAAAGGAAAGAAAAAAACACACAAAACATCCAGTCTGGAGCTGTCCCTTCTCATCTTGAGCTCACCTAACAACTAATGTCAGACTGCCGCTAGCATCTGTTTTGGGTATGTTTTGCTATTTTTTTTTTCCTAAGACCAACCAAGTCCTGCTTGTTCTTGGTCTAACAATCTTCTCTTGGCCTTATTTTGAGAGATGAACCATCTTCAGTTGAGGTCGGAGTTGAAATTTGGGTGGAATTGGCCTAGCAGAAGGGTTGCGTGGTTGGTCCCTGTCCAAACAGCAAGGGCAAAGGGAAGAGGAGCAGCTGGGCAAACATCCGTCCCTCTGGCTTATCAAACCAGGAGAAAACCTTGCAGGGGACGAGGGGAGGATGGGGACAAGGATTAGGGAAAATCCAGGAGAAGCAGAGGACAAAGGGCTGGAGAGAAGGAGCTGAGGAGGAGGAGGAGGCTGGCAGGCTCCTGAGGGCTGTCGCCTGCTTTAATGGAGCTGGACTAATTAATTAGGTGCCTGGAGAGGCAGAGCTGGCTGCCCATAGAGGAGATGTCATGTGAGTGATGTCCCTTGTGACCACTGCCATTGGGCATCAGATGGACCCTGGGGAAAGGGATCAAAGCAGCGTGACCCGGTGAGCAGGGGCTCAGTCCCGACTGCTTCCACAATGTTAATTCACCTGGAAAGAGCATTTCATCTTCAAAGCGTTTTGCAAAGCTTCACTAATCACCCCCATAATGGCACTGGGAGGAAGCAGAGCTTAATTAGGACTTGCAAAATGCCCTGATCCGCCCCAAAGAGATGACTCTGGAGCCCCAGCCACCACGGTGTCCCCTGCAGCTGCGTCCCCTGCCTTCGCAATGGAAGTCAGGGGATGATGAAACAGGTCACCAGGTTATAAAGGAAGGTGCAGGACACGCAAGCAGAGGGGACGAGGGGGAAAAGTCCTCGGTCTGGTTCCAAGCCGCTTCCCAAAGCTGTGTCCGTTGCCAGCTCCTCTTCCCGTGGTCCCCTCCAGCCAATGCAGCCACAGCTCCGTGCACAGAGTTTCCTGGAGTCACCTCCCCACAGAGGGGCTCCAGGGGACCGGAAAAAGCCAGGCCTATGTGGTCCTGCTGCCCAAGCTGTTTATTAGGTGCAGAGGGGTCACAAAACAGTGGGACACATCCCACCTCCAGCCAGGGTGTCCTGGAGGAGTTGGGGTCCCTCCAGCCTCCCCATCCTCCCAGAAGGGGTTTTATCCCGGGACACCATGACACGAGGAGGACCCCAAGGAGAGAGAAAGGCAGTTCTGGTCCCCACCGCCCCGCGGGGAATAGCGCGGCCCGTGGCCGAGCGTCCTGCTACTTGTAGCCCATCTCGTGTGCGCGGTTGGTGGCCGCCTCCACGGCGCTCATGACAGTGGCCCGCAGCGCGCCCTTCTCCAGCTGGTGCAGCGCGTGGATGGTGGTGCCGCCGGGCGTGCAGACGTCGCCGCGCAGCTTTGCCGGGTGCTCCCCAGTCTCCAGCATCATCTTCGCGGCACCCTGTGGGGGGCATAGGCTGTGACGCCCTCCCATCTCCTGCCTCCTTCTGCAGGGGGGCAAGGGGACAGCGCCTACGTCCCACGAAAGGGCCCTTACGGTCTCCTCACTGGCCCATCTTTGGTTTCCAGAGGGGAAACTGAGGCAAGGGGACCTGCAGCGCCTCCCTAGCTCCGCCCCACGCTCCTTTGGGGAAAGGGGATCCGCGCAGGGCATCCCAGCACTTTTCCCAGGATAAAGCAGGGTCCCGATGTCCCCTCATGTGGGTCTGTCAAGAAGGAGGTGCCAGCGGCCCCAGGCCACCCAAACCTGTCTGCTGCCAGCTGGCTCTACCAGCTTCCTGCTCCCAGCTGGGAGCTGGTGGCATTTGGGGCTCCATCGGACACCGGGAGGAACCGCAAAGCCAAGGGACAGCACAGGGATGCCCAAGACAGCGGGGGAGACACAGAGCAGGACAGGGAGGACCCGTGTGGTGCCCCGAGCAATGGCATTGACTCACCAGCAGCGTCTGGGCTGCGATTCTGCTGGCTAAGGGCCCCGGCATGCCCATCTTCACGGCTCCCTCAGCCAGGGCTTCGGCGAACAGGTACACCTGGGATGAGGGACAGCAGCGTCAGGCGGCGAGATCCGGGCGACCGGGCATCCCACCGGGAAGCTGGCATCCCCGGAGCAAGGGGTGCGATGGGACTCAGGGACACGTACGTAGGCTACCCCGCTGCCGCTGAGGCCCGTGTGGATGTTGATGTAGGACTCGGGCACCTCCTCGCAGAGGCCACAGGAGGAGAGCAGGCTCTTGAGCAGGGTGGCCTCCTGGTCGCCAGCACTGTCACCCCGGGCGAACACCATGGCCCCAGCCTGCACCACGCACGGTAGGTTGGGCATGAGCCGCAGCACCTTGGTCCTGGCAGGGAGCAGCTATGGAGAGACGGGCATGGGGCAGAGATGCCCATGGGGCTCCAGGAAGCACCCAGGTGCTCCCAAGGCCAGATGCTGTTCCCAGAGCAGCGCAAAGTATCAGCCATCAAAGCTGGTAGGGAAGCACCGTGCGGGACTCAAAGCACAAGGGATGCAGCCTGGGCAGCAATGAGGACGCGCATCCTTCTGCAATCGCCCCTCCTAACCCCGCTAGAGCAGGAATTGTTGAGGAAAAAGGCAAAATGTGAAGCTCTGGGGCTGCGGGGAGGGTCAGAGCACTGCCCTTGCCCCCAGGAAGCGACACGGAGGCGCAGGGTGCCAAGGAGGATGCAGCAGGGGGAAGAGCGAGCGCAGCCGCACACTCACCTGCTGCAGGGCGCTGAGGGTGATGCCGGCGGCCAGCGAGACGATGACGTGGTGTGAGCCCACAGCAGGTCGGATCTCCTGCAGGACGCCCGGCAGGATGTGCGGCTTGGTGGCCAGGAAGACCAGGGTGCTGTCCTGCAGCACCTCCAAGTTGCAGTGCGTTGTGCGGCAGCCGAACTCCTGCCCATGGCGCAGAAATGCATCAGAGGCCAGCGACTCGCGTTACAACATCCTCTGGACACGATTTAACCTTGGATGAGGACCTCCCTGCTTGCCCCCCGTCCCACCCCCTCATGCTGGGCGGGGGGACACAGGTCAGGGACTAGCTTCAGCCACAGAATCACTATGGCTTTGCCTAGATGTTCAGCCTTTTGGGAAAGGGCGCCCTAAAATCGCAGCACGGGGCATCCCAGCATCCTTTCCTCTGCATTGTGCTGGATGCCGGCGACCTTGCACCACTGAGGCTCTGAGGGGGGCGATTTGTCACCCCAGTGACAAGCCAAGCCCCATTGTGCTAGTCCCCGTGGCCCCACTCACCTGGAAGGCGCCCAGGTTTCTCTCGGAGGGTGCGCTGGCCAGGATGTTTGCAGCTGGCACCTTCCCTTTAAAAACACGATGGTCACTGTGAAGAGCTGCCGGGGAGCTCCCCTAGCAGAGCCCAGCACCCCCAAAGGAGTTTGGATGCCCCCATCCCAGCAGGGCTCCGGTTATGTAAGCTGAGGGGCTGCCCCACTGCTGGCTGCAGGGACCAGCGGCTCAGCACAGACCCTCCGGGGACAGCTGTGGACCCCCCTCTTCCAGCCCACGCGTCAGGACTGTCACTGTCACCCACACAGCCCTGGGAAGAGGTAGGATGGGGCTGGCTCTGTGTCCCCACACCACACTACAGGGCAGGGACCTATGGAGGTGAGGAATATTGGACATTGCTGGGCCTGTGCCTCCAGTCTGCTTTATGGGGCAGGAGGGGACAGGATGGGGCTGTCCCCTGCTCCGTGGGGCAGCAACACAGGTCAGTGGTGCAGGACAGAGCTGCCCCACATCCGCACCCTGCTCCGTGGGACAAGGACATGGGACAAGGGCATGGGTCAGAGACGCAGGATGGGGCTGTCCCCGTGTCCCTGTATCGATCCGTGGGGCAGGGACAGGGTCGGGGGGGGGGCAGAACGGGGCTGTCTCCATACT